TCAGTTAGCGGAAATACACATCGAAGCTACTCGCCTTGTGAGGAATGTTCTTGATAATTCTAGGGATGTCGTATCGGCTATAAAAGCGTTGCAGAGATGACACGAAATCAGTTAGTAAGAGATTCTACTCTAAGCGAAACAGCGAACGGATCACATGAAGCGAAGCGATAGAAGTGAATTGAAAATTTTAAAGTGTTCTTTAATTATTCTAAGTTTTCATTTATTGCTTAGGTGGATGGACTCATAGCCCACCTGGTGTTAAGTGGTTACTGGAGTCCATAGAGATCTAGGACGTAAATGCGCCACCCACCTTGAGATATATGTTCTAATGTCTCAAGTATAGTTACAACGGCTGCCCCACTCTTCAAACCGAAACGCATTACTACTTAACGGCAGAAATAGGTAGGTTGGTGGTACATACCTACCCGTGCGGACTCACAAGAGGTCCTACCACCAGTATACAGTTTTAATTTGGTAACTTCGGTAGAATTTGTATTTATCCCGAACCCCAGCGCGTAACTAATGTGGCTTATGGAGGAGTTTGTTGTTAGCCGTATTGGCGTAGTCGCAATGGTTTTTTTTATTGCCCATGTAGGCAGACGGGCATACGGCTCACCTGGTGGTGAGTGGTTATCGTTACCCATGGATATCAGCAATGCCAGGGGCAGAGCCAATCCGCTGCCTACCGTTAAATACTCTCCACAGGCCTCGTTTGAAGGAGGACTTGGTATAGCGCTCGGGAAACCCCGTTGGTTTGAGTGAAAGCCGAAAGACCATTTTCAAAACCTTCTGAAGTCGGATTCACGGTTGTGTTACGCAGAAAACGTTTGAGATGTAACTACGCATTTGTATGGACTATGCTCCTACCACACCAGTGTTGAGAGTTATGTATTGGAGAATTGTAGGTTGCTGAAGAATGCCTCCAAGGGAGTCCAGGGGGCTTAGTGCGAGTTTTTTAACGTTTTCGATAGCGTAAAAGTTAGCTCATGTTTGTATGGAATGGGATCGTTTGCCTACATTTGCGTTAGGGGCGTTATTCCAACTGCATACAAAACTATAACTCTTACGCTATCGAGAACGTTAAAAAACTCGCACTGAACACACTGATAAGCCCAAGGGTGGCTATTTTATGAGTCGGTCTACCACTGATTCGGGGTTTCGTCGAGATGTGGCACGGCAGACTGATGCTTTGTGCTTTCGTTGCTGGATTTGAGACGGAGCCACCATCAAACGGTAACGGAAGTGGAAGACCTGGATCCATCAGGTGGTGAATGAACGTAGCGTAGAACGTAGAACGTAAAACTAAATTTTTTTAATAGTTTTTTGCGTAGGTGTATGCACGTACTCACAGCCCAACTGGTGTTAAGTAGTTACCGGAGCCCATAGACATCTACAACGTAAATGCCGCCCCCGACCTTGAGACATGAGTTCTAAGGTTTCAGTGTAGTTACAACGGCTGCCCCAGTCTTCAAACCGAAGTCGTGTTTCCGATCCTGTGGTATATATTGCAAAGCACGGCTCTTGTTAGGGCCAGTGTTAGCAACACCTGGTTTGAAACCCGAGAGCTTACCTTCACGCTAGGGTAAGGCTAATATAGCCTCTCAGGCTACCAGGTAGAAAGAAAAAAAAACCCATTGATGAATTTAGGCCTAGACCCAAGAGGTCAGGGCCTAGGTCGGCATCAAGCCTAAATCCATCACTGTGTTTGTGGCGGGTAGCCATCATACAACGCAAGATATTTGACAGATGCCTGAATCTCGCTTACGACATTTTCAAGATAAAGCGCATATATATACAAGTTCCGAACAAAAACATTCCCAACTCTCAGACACAGCTCACTGAGTTTCTCGCCGGATCTTCTCAGTGGGTCGCGTTTCCGATCCGGTGGTAGATTCTGCGAAGCACGGCTCTTGCTAGGGTTCGTGTTAGCATCGTCGTCAGGTTTGAGCCCCGTGAGCTCACCTACTAGCCACGGTTACGCTGAAATAGCCTCTCAAGGCTATCAGCTTAGGTAGGAAAAAAAAAAAAAACATTCGGACCGTCGGTCTACCGAGCAAATATCACCCGCTCGGTGGAAGATCTTCCCTTTGTCGTATATTCTTCCTACAAGTTTACCCACAAAATTACTCCTGAACTTATGTTTTCTATACTGTCCGGAACGAACTCTGTCGATTATAAAACAAACATTTAAACTATCAATGTTTATTCGTGAATACACACTAAGTACATTCTAAAATTTTACTATATTATTGAAGTGAAACTTTTAATGCGACTTTCAACAAGGTTGCGTTAATCGTTTAACGCTTCTGGGGTGGGGGAATAGAAAGAGACAGAGCGAGAGTGAATGCGTGGCGCTCGCACGCATGCGCGTAACGTAGCTGTTACAGGCCAGCGCGAGCGTTAGCAATGGTTAGCAAAGAGTAGCGTCCAATATTTTACTGAAGTATTTAAAAAAACATATATATATTAATTTTTCTAACTATAATTTAAAATATAAATTTTGAAAATGTCGCATCTCTTATACACAACATAACCTATTACAAGAGCAATCTGATTTAGGGATGAAAAATGAAGAAAACCACAATACTACACATCGCAAAAAGAAGTTTCACTTCATCATTAACATTACTTAAATTAGAAACAATCACATTCGCGATTGCACATTATTTCTTATTCAAAAACCTCGTACTGTTTTCTCATTATACCTACAACAAACCGCGCGTTTCTATTATTTTTTTTCGAAATCAGAAATCGAATTGTTTGTAAGTTTGGTGAGGCGGTACCTATATTAAAAAAAATAAAACTTATAATAAAATAAAATAAAAATATCAGGTAAAAAACCAGACTTGGTTCAAGCTAGCCAAATAATTCAACAGTTTGTTTTTAGAAGTTAGGACGACTTTCTAGAGGTGACAAGTTGAAAAAGTGTCCGTCTGTAAACATGGAACTTTTGTTGGAAAACCGAAATAGCGCTAGTTTAAGGAGTGGAAATGATATGAATTTATAGCAGTTTTAAACAAGGCTAAATGTGCCGGGTTGAAAATTTAATATCTATCGTGAAATAATAATAAGCCTTTTATTCCATGTAAATAGTAAGTTACATACATATTTTAAATATAAAGAAGAAAAGAAAGAAAAAAAACAGTGATGTTGTTTACACGTATTTCACTAAATTTCCTTCCCCCTTCCTTCCCTCCCCCTTTCTTTTTAAAAGTATAAATCTAGATAATGTTTTTAAAAAAGTTTAAATTTGTGAATATAGAAGAATATAGAAGTTTGTTTGCATGGACCCCTCTTCAAGCGAAGGTGAATGCCTCCTCTAAAGAATACCATCTGTTTCATTATTAGATGTTGATCTTTTCTTGGTTAACCTATTTTCACGTTTCACGACCTCTAAGGAAGACATCGTGACATAATCTATATTTAAATTATAGTTTAAATATAAATAGCTTTAATATAATCCATTTTGGTTGTTGGTTATTTGAGGCCTATAAAATCAAAGGCAGCTAAACGCCTTAATGTCGTAAAATGGATTAACAATGGCGCTATCTTGTTTAGTTAGTTGGACACGCTTTAGTGTTTTCATGTTATAACAAATGCAGCTAAATCTCTAACAAATTCAGTTCAAACATTTTATTTTTACTCTGTACTAAGTACTAATAAACGAAGTTTTATCATTTAAAATTCAGATTATTAGTAACATTCTCATACTTTATAAATCTGCTTTAAAATAAAGAATATCGTAACTATCCGAGCAAAGTTATTTCAGCTTATCAAACCGGGAGTGTTGCTAACACTGGCCCTAGCAAGAGCGGTACTTCGATGGATCGGGAGGATCCGTAATGACGTGTTTAGGGCCGATTTTTGTAGTTTACCTGAATATTTGACAGATTGGATTTAGCTACCTTTGATTTTATAGGCCTCATTTATCCCTTTATGGTGTGCAGCCGAAATAATTGTTTTTTTTAATATCTCAAAACTTAATAGAAACAAACGTACATCTACAGGATTAAGCCTGCGTGAAAATAGCGTGAATTATACATGTTTTTAAAAAAAAAGGGTTTCATGTTGTTTCTTGTCACACTGTTTCCATAAACCACTATTTACCATATCATCTCATTTAATTTCACTTCATATTATCATTTTTTTCATAGAAATAAGAATATCAATTAAAATAAGACTTGACCTAAAGGTCAAGTCATAAAATCACTTAGTATGAGCTTAGTACGTGTATGGAGGTTAGAGGTAAGAAGAATGTAGCAAATGAAGTGTGCCGACTTATAACGTTTAATATAATTTCGATTAAAGTATTAATTATTGAAAATTTCAACAACTTCCGTTGTACATAATAATATAGTAAATTATAACCTTAAAGAATTATTACAAGAAAACGTGCACCTAGAATGATTTCATTTCTTAAACTGTGAATGGTACGATTATTGATTTATTAACATTACATTTTATGATTAGGTATCTATCAAACCTACTAATAATATTTGGCGCTGCCTTTAAAATGTACCCTGATGCTAATGTGGCGTCACCTTAATTTAATATATTTCGACGGATACTTTTCATGTACCGTACACAGTTGATTCTCTTTACCTCTACCCTCCTTAAGTGCATGTTATGAGACTGGCTGCGTCATAATTATGGCGGGTAGAAGTAAGGAGGACCGTCTCATATGGGAGAAGCTTGAAAAAGTGTCCCACTTTCAGCACTAATTAACAGTGCGAAAATCCTCCAGAATGGCACTAACATAGGCACAGGGTATGATATGAATTGAGCAGTTGTTAACTGATTGAAGTAAGTATGCTGAGTTAGGAAATTTAATATATTTAATGACTAGAGAAGTTAGTGATAGTGTAATATACAAGACCTCACATTTCTAAACTAATTTCGTCAATATAACTTAAAATTGCTGTGGTAAAACGTGGAGACATCGATTGCATTTTCTTATCAGCTTTAAATAGAATATTTTTTGTGATTTTGTAGTGCTAACAGTTCTTTCGTCCTTTTTTATTTCTCTATCTTATTATAATAACTCTCAACGCCCTTTTAAAAATTTACCCGGTTGCTACTGTAGCGCCACTCTTATTTAGCCGATTTTAACGGACACTTTTTACAGACAGAGACGGTTCTCTTTACCTCTACCCTCCATAGTCATAATTAATCACTGTAGGTATTTATTATCTGTGGACTGCGTTTTGTTCATGCAAACGTATCTTACACACAGGAACTTATAATGAATGATGAAATAAATGAATAAAGAACTAAGAAATCTATTGTGATTTAAAATTAGATGTAGCCTCTAAAATTTCTAACCTCTTCCAGTCGTACAACAGACATATTTATGAATAAAACAAAATAGAATCCAAACATATGGGACGTAGACAAAATATTCCTTAGCTTTTTTTGTTTAAAGTAACAATTTATAATTTCGGATGGAAACACTATCGATTGCATAACTTTTCGCACCGGTATTATCTGTGCAAACAAAAATTTTCCTTACATATTTAGGGAACACAGGAATAATTTAGTGATTAGAAGATAAAAAATAATGCTTTGATTTCTGCGCCGTGTTTTCACATAAGCCCTTTCTCGTTGCAAAGATGTGTGTGCAGATGAATGTTTGTGCTAAATCCGGTTATTGCGGTCACAGTACGGATCCGGCCACGCCGGGAGGGGTTTGGATTATGGGGGCGTTATGCTGCCACCATACTCAGGGGATGCACCACGACCTGTGAACAAATAAACTGCAAGACTTCGCTCTGTTATACAGAACCCTAAACAACTTTTTTTTTTGTTGTTGCTACAATGGCGCCACCTTAATTGGCTACCTTTTTACACTTTTTAGTACACTGAGATGGTGGTGTTAAATGTATTAGTCTAAATTAACCCACAGACACAGCCCACTGAGTTTCTCGCCGGATCTTCTCAGTGGGTCGCGTTTCCGATCCGGCGGTAGATTCTGCAAAGCACGGCTCTTGCTAGGGTTCGTGTTAGCAACGTCGTCAAGTTTGAGCCCCGTGAGCTCACCTACAAGCTCGGCGAATCTAGAATAACCCCTCGAGGTTACTAGAATAGGTAGGAAAAAAAAATTATATCTACCCTCCATATTTGACACAAAACAGAAGTGTTCTCATTGCGAGTTTTTTAACGTTCTCGATAGCGTAAAAGTTAACTCGATCGGAGGATCGATTTTTTTTCCGTCCCATCACCAAAGGTATCATTAGTATTATCGTCTTATCTTCGTTTTCGGAACGATCGTGTTAATAATTGTGGCTTCTCCGACTAATAAATAAATAAATAAATTGAATCGTTGAGTAGTTAAGTACCTCGGCCTCTGCCGCGGCCCCGACCCCTGCCCCTCCCGCGGCCTCGTCACCTCCTCCCGTCCCCAAGACCCACCATATCTGAAAAATAGGATACGCATCTCAATGAACACATTCAATGACCCCAAACTATCAATTCTCATCTATTACACACCTACACACATACACCCACACACACACACACACACTCACGTACACATACACACCTACACCCACACACATACATACACACACTCTCTCTCTCTCTCACACACGCATAATGACCTTAAATGATAACACCTAATGATCTCTCAACACTAGTCCGCAGCATCTGTTCACGATTTAAGCTAACCTAATCTATCTTAAGAAGGAGGGAGCCTGGAGATCAGTAATACAGGTCTTTGAACCTAGTACAGACTTCAGCTCTTTCAAAGGCTTACAAAATAAATTTTAAGGTTAATTTCTATTTGTATTTGTACTATACCTTTAAGAGAGAAATAAATAAAATNCCTAATGATCTCTCAACACTAGTCCGCAGCATCTGTTCACGATTTAAGCTAACCTAATCTATCTTAAGAAGGAGGGAGCCTGGAGATCAGTAATACAGGTCTTTGAACCTAGTACAGACTTCAGCTCTTTCAAAGGCTTACAAAATAAATTTTAAGGTTAATTTCTATTTGTATTTGTACTATACCTTTAAGAGAGAAATAAATAAAATGTATTTGTTATTTTAGTTATGTGTTATTTGTTCTACACACACTTATCACTTTTTATTATTATTCTCATTATCCTCTCGCAGGTCTGCTGGAAGAGATTTCTTAAAGAAATAAGCAGTGCCTTTGTACATAATTTTCCTATTACTCTGTACTAAGTATGTCTTTTTTCTGTGTGTACATAAATAAATAATTAAAATAAATAAATAAAATTATTATTATTATTATGTTACTACATACGTGAACATGCCAGTGTGGTTAGGGAGAGTTTATTAACGTTTTCGATAGCGTAAAAGTTAACTAAAATTTGTATGGAGTTAGAACAGCGCCCCTAGCGGCAAACGAATCGAGCTGTTCCAACTCCATACAAATTTCAGTTAACTTTTACGCAATCGAGAACGTTAAAAAACTCACACTAAGCCCAAAGTAATCTTCATTGAACCACTTCGAACGAATCAGGAAAGCGGTAAAACCGATTAATTGATTGATCTTCATGGACCACTCTAAGCATTTTTAAATCTGTATATCGCAACATACCTGTCGCAACTTAGAATTGATCCAGACAAAAAGACGATCTCTGAATGAGATCGCTTTTAGCGAAAAGACCGCTTGTGATTATACCTGCCTGTTGATTGGTATTTTGTTGAAATTAGAAAATCGAACGCTACTTTATCGACTCATGTTATAATGAGTACATCTCTACTTTAATATAATATATGTACCTAAGTCTGTAATTCCTTGTCTATGATAAAACTCTCTCAAAATAAAACTACGTTTTGTAAAACAAAACCGCTATATTTTATTTTATTCAACATTTTTGAATGTTAATTGTGTTTAGGTATGCAATAGAGTTTATTCTCTCTCTCCCTCTCTCGCTCTCTCTCTCTCTTCCTCTCTCGCTCTACAGCGACCTTATTGATACGGCGATATGGTATACACTACAAATTGAGTAAGCCTGAAACTGCGATACTTTAAGACAAAAAAATTTTGTATGGAAACTAGCGACATCTTGTAGCGGATGTCCCTAAACTTATACTTAGTCTGGCCATAAATACTGTTACAATTATAAATAAACAACATATTACATTTGAATTTGGAATCTGTAATTTTTATATGATTGCTCATTGAGTTTTCTCATTTTGGCGCCAATACATTGTATAATATTTTGCGATATTAAAATGGAGTGGGGTGATAAAGAGAACCGAATCGCTGTGATTGCATTACACAAAGTAGGTATGGAGCCAAATGTAATTTTTAAAACTCTCCATACGCTTGGTATTAGTAAAATGTTTGTGTACCGGGCTATTAATAGGTGCAATGTGACCTCCTCTGTTTGTGACAGAAAAAGATCTGGCCGACCACTACGAAAAAGGTGGTCAAAGCAGTAAGGGAAAGAATTCGAAGAAATCCTGTCCGGATGCAAAAGATTTTATCTCGGGAGATGAAGATAGCAACTAGAACCATGGCGCGTATTTTAAAAGATGACTTAGGACTTGCAGCCTATAAGAGACGTACTGGTCATTTCTTAACTGATAATTTAAAAGAGAATAGGGTGGTAAAATCGAAACAACTACTGAGCGTTGACCTCCCTTTGCGTACAAGGGAGGTCATAGAAAAATTTTGTTTTCGGATGAGAAAATTTTTACAATTAAGCAACATTTTAACAAACAAAATGACCGTATTTATGCTCAAAGCTCTAAGGAAGCTTCCCGATTAGTCGACAGAGTGCAACGTGGGCACTTTAAAGTCGTCGTGGCCTAAACGATAAGACGTCCGGTGCATTCGTGTTGAGCGATGCACCGGTGTTCGAATCCCGCTGGCGGGTACCAATTTTTCTAATGAAATACGTACTTAAAAAATGTTCACGATTGACTTCCACGGTGAAGGAATAACATCGTGTAATAAAAATCAAACCCGCAACATTATAATTTGCGTAATGACTGGTGGTAGGACCTCTTGTGAGTCCGCGCGGGTAGGTACCACCGCCCCGCCTATTTCTGCCGTGAAGCAGTAATGCGTTTCGGTTTGAAGGGTGGGGTAGCCGTTGTGACAATACTGAGACCTTAGAACTATATCTCGAGGTGTGTGGCGCATTTACGCTAGAGATATCTATGTGCTCCAGTAACCACTTAACACCAGGTGGGCTGTGAGCTCGTCCACACATCTTAGCAATAAAAAAAAGCAATAAAAAAAATATAAAAAAAAACTATCCGACTTCAGTGATGGTTTGGTGGGGTATTAGCTATGAAGGAGTGACTGAGCCATACTTTTGTGAAAAAGGTATCAAATCATCGGCACAAATGTATCAAGATACCATTCTTGAGAAAGTATTGAAGCCCCTTAACAACACCATGTTCAATAATCAAGTATGGTCCTTCCAGCAAGACTCGGCGCCAGGTCATAAAGCTCGGTCTACGCAGTCTTGGTTGGAAACGAACGTTTTGGACTTCATAAGAGCTGAAGACTGGCCGTCGTCTAGTCCCGATCTTAATCCGCTGGATTATGATTTATGGTCAGTTTTAGAGAGTACGGCTTGCTCTAAACGCCATGATAATTTGGAGTCCCTAAAACAATCCGTATGATTGGCAGTGAAAATTTTTCCCATGGAAAGAGTGCTTGCTTCTATTGATAACTGGCCTCAATGTTTAAAGGACTGTATTGCAGCCAATGAGGACCACTTCGAATAAGCTTTTTATACTTTAAATTGTTTTATATTTATGTATTAAACTAACACCTTGTAAAAGTAATAAATGTTATTTGCCATAGAATTTTTTTTGTTTTCCTTTGTAACAGTATTTATGGCCAGACTAAGTATACTTGAGACCTTAGTACTTACGTCTCAAGGTGGGTGGCGCATTTACGTTGTGGATGTCTATGGGTTCCAGTAACCACTAAACACCAAGTGGGCTGTGAGCTCGTCCACCCATCTTTTTTTTTTATTGCCCTTTTAGGCAGACGAGCATACGGCCCATCTGATGGTGAGTGGTTACCGTTGCCCATGGACTTCAGCAATGCCAGGGACAGAGCCAAGCCGTTGCCTACCGCTAAACCATAAAAAAAAAAACTTATGTATGTGTATTTATTATCTATGAACTGAATTTTAAGCTGATGTCAAAAGTTCCCCTACCATCTTACGAAGTTACGAAAAGGTTCTGTACCTATATTGGTGGCAGTTTTCTCCAAGTACGCCAGTGGTCCCGGCAGCGAGCCTCCAGCGTAGCCGCCACGCCCACTTGCCATGAACATGCTATGAGCTAGACTGTTCTGCATCTGTTGCGAATTGTCTTGTTAGAGACTGCATTAATTTTCAAATGTACCAATTGTTCTATTGTTCAAATGTATGCTTGACTGTTTACTAATGTTAATTGTGCTTTGGCGTGCAATAAAGTATATCGTCGCTGTCAAACCAAAATCTGCTACATATTTGCAAACACTCTATTTTGAATTAACGAGTAAGAACATTTTCATATAAAATTTTATATGAAGATGAATTTTTAAGAACTATATCAAATGAAAGCTATAGATAGACACATAACAATTTTTTTATACGGCAGATAGGGCTGTGAACTATTCGAAAAAAAGTAAAAATCTCAAAAAGTGCACATAGCAGATTTTGGTTTGACAACGACGATATTCTCTTTCTCTCTAAATTTCAATCTATTCTCGTCTTATCGAATAGATTAACCACAGAACACTATTACACAGTAACTATACTGAGACTTTATAACTTATATCTCAAGATGGGTGGCGCATTTACGTCGTATATGTCTATGGGCTCCAGTAACCACTTACCACACACCAGGTGGGCTGTGAGCTCGTCCACCCATCTAAGTAATAAAAAAAACCAATAAAAAAGTAATAAAAAACGAATTGTCACATAAGCTTTCTTATGAGCGTGTTTTGTTTTTTTAATTTGTAAACTACATTAATTCTTTAGTATGAACAATAAGAATCGGCCATTTTATTTCGAAACACAGATAACATATATTTTTGTTTTTTTTTTATTGTCGTCATGATTGTGATCCTCTTTCTTTCGCGTTCGTAATGCTTTTAAGCCTACCAGTACTAATTAGGCAGTGATCCTACTATTTTTTTCCTGCCGAAAATAATTTACGTCTCACTTATGAGGCCCACGATCGCCGACCTGGCTGTATCATTGAATCGAGACATCGACATAATCCTTGGTAAACTCTTTGCATGTATTACTAATGGGGCGTGAATTCGTAGGCCCTTATGAATAAATATATCAACAAACGTGAACACATCTTGCCAATGTAACAAATCGATTGAATATCAATTATATTATTGTTGATTATTAGTCAGAAAATAACCTTTTAAATACACGAAGCTTCACCAACCTTCATCTTGCTTTTTGAGCGATGTTTGAACGAATAAATTAACAAATAAAAAAATAAACGAAAAACACTCACCAAATTCAACTTCGTAAATATGTGGAGAATTAAAAAGCCAACGTGAGGTGATGAAAAAAATTTAATAAATGAAACAACTAAATGCAAAATAAAAAATATATTTTGTTAAACGAAAAAAAAAACATAAAAATAAATCATAGAGCAGCGAAACATACTTTAAAAAAAAACGAACGTGCTGAAGCCATAGACAAATCGAAACGAGACCAAGGGATATTTTATTTGAAGCCACGACAATCATTCGGCCTCGGATACTCGAACATTAATCCTCTCCCTTTCTCCGATAGTGTGAGAACTAATACATATATTATACATACATAACGTAATATCTGATCCTCCTTTATATACGAAAATGAACTCTAAGTTAAACTAAGCAAACAAATACTAGGAGATTGTAGATTCTTATCTAATAGTTTCTGGGTTTTACCCTATAATGCTGTAAAGGCTGTTAATTTTTTACAGAGCTTATAGCTCAAGCTATTATTGTTATCAAAACTGGAAAACTCGTCTTCCCTAGCAACATGAAGGGGTAGACGTAAGAAAAACGAATTCAAACGAATGGCAAATTGAAAAAGCGTCCGGCTGCGAGTTAAAAAATTACAAGTTAAAAACTCACCGAAATAGCGGACCACAATATGCTTAGTGCGAGTTTTTTAACGTTCTCGATAACAACTCGCACTAAGCACGCAAGTGCGTAGGATGTTAATATATCACTCGTGAACAAAGTAGAGTGTGCTGACTATATATGCTATTGATAATACAGTGCAACTTCAATATCGACGCTTGAAAGGCAAACGTGACTAAGCGACAATGCGTGAACTTTACAGTAGACTAATTTAAAGTTGAAATACCTGAAAAAAAATCTATTTTAACGAATCTAGCTGTAGGATTGAAATGATTTTAATGGACGTAGAAATATTTTTTTTTTTTGCGCATGGATTATGGTTATTGCCTATCATTTATGTATAAAGCAGTTATTGTCGCTTAGTCACGTTTGCCTTTCAAGCGTCGATATAATAAATCGTAAGGGAACAAGTCAAAATTCGTTTTATGAAGTAATTCGGTAAACTGAGATTTGTTTTATTGAGGTTAGGTTGGTCTACCATTTGCTATAACGAGGTAAAAATAAAATAGTTTTATTCACCTCAATATTATCTACTCATCCTCTACCTAATAAATTATAACACATTTTTATCAAATTACTCGTATTTTCTATTTAAAAACAATTAGGTAGGTAACCATTTTTCTTAAACCTGCCGAGACTGGGCACATATTGGTGGGAACATTATATAAAGGTTTTGGGTTGACAAAATCGTTAATCAGAGGTATTAACATTTTTTTTATAGCAGAAAATTCGTTATAAAGAGGTTGTTCGCGAGAAATCTTCGCAATATGAAGGTATTTTTTAAATTATTGTCGTAATACTGTGGTTGCACTGTAATAGCTTTTGTCGCCATCTTTGATATTACATCACTCGCTACTGTGTCGCCGCCCTGATCGGTCGCTTCTTTACGGACAGTTTTTCGTGCGCAAAGAGCGTGTTCCTTACCTCTACCCTCCATTCCTACCTAGTTATTTATATTCTAATTATCTTAGATTAATCGCAAAAATCGATAAAAAAATATATGTCTTTACACGTTTTTTTTAACATTATATTAACAGTGTAGATCATTGCAGTTGCAATATAGGGTGATGTTTTATGTATATATATTTTAAATAAATGTATTCTTATTTAGCGACAATTACATTGTTAGATATTCTCACATCTACTTTAACATTCGCCATAATGGACGCTTCGCTTGACTGCGCCAATAATAGTACCCTAGTTAACAATGTGAAATCTTAATCTGTTATATGATTCTAAAATAAGGGAATTAAACAAAAAAACAAACCAAAGTTAGTAAATTATCGATACGTTTCGCTTAATTAGAGCAACAATTCGATGTTTTTAATTGAACTTTAATTAAGTTTACTCCATTCGAATAGTTGAAGAAGTTTTTTTTGGTATGATATTTTTACCAAATTTTAAACTTTAAATAGCTCGCATGTAAATTTGTAAAAGTGTCACTTAAACAAAACACCCTTTCACCCGTCGATACAATATAATAATAATAATAATAATTGAAAACCGACTTCGAATAGGGAAGTGCATCTATTAAAATTAACACAAGCACTTTCGAACGAAAATTTTCAAAATCGGTCCTCAAATTTCTGTGACCATACATAAAATCGAACTTAGAAAGTCCTGTTTTCTTTTTAAAAGTCGGTTAAATAGCAGAAAGAATCTTCACTATATCAAGACGATCATTAAATCAAATGGATTTTTTGTTCTAACAAAAGTTTCACTAAAATTTTCTCAGATTAGTTAGACGTTTATTTTCAACCCCCCAAATGACGTCACACGTAGTGAAGTTGCTTTCGACCCAGCCTTCGTCTCATTTTAGAGCATCGACCGACCTCAAGCCACAGTAAGCGTGTTGTTCAGCCGATTAAGCCTATCCTTTGATACAATGGGAAACTACAAAACTGTCATGACACTTGATGGTCCTTTATGCTGAATCTACCCGCAACACAACTACAGGGGAGCTACTGAACTACCGTCTCTGGACGTTAGCGGGGTACGGGGGGAGTTGGGGGCGTGGTACCTGCTGTTGTTGCAGGGCGGCTTGCTGCTGGAGGGCGACCTGCTGAGCGGCAGCCGCAGCCGCCATCTGCTGAGCCTGGGAACATGGAATCAAATCAACTGTCATCTTGAATTTGATCAAGAAGTACCTACGATCGACGAAAACCCGCAACCGCAATGTGTATTTCATAGATAATAAATACACATAAATTAGTCATAACGTCTGGTGTAGTGGTAAGTGACATGGTCACTACACAAGGGGGTCGCGGGTTCGAATCCCGCCAAGGTATGATAAATATTATATAAAATGTATTTTCCAGGGCTATGGATGTATATTAAGTATATGTATGTGTATAATAAAAATGTTACATTTATTTCTGTTATATCGTACCTGTAACAAGAGTTCTTTACGAACTTAGCACGGGACCAGTTAACGTGGCGTGATTGTTAGTAAATATTTATTTATTATTATTATTATTATTATTATTATTATAGATAAGCAACTCAAGCACTCGACAAAAAAATTTACGGGCGTCGGCCACTAGATGGCTTCATTTCGATTAATTTCTCATTGCTTCTGTAGATGGCAGTAACATTTATTATGCACCTATCCTATAATTTCTTTTTAATGAAGGATTTTGTAATTTTTTAGAAACAACGAAATTGATAAAATTTAATCTATTTGTCTATAACAAATAAAGACTTGTATGATTTATGATTTTTTTTTATTTTCTATGTTTAGTTATACAATATTGTTTTTGCCTACGAAGCAGTGTAGTAAATTTCAACCTCATTATTTCCATACTAACTATGATAAGCTTAGGACACTTTTGCGCTGACTGTCTCATATATACATAGTTAATAAACACCCAGACTAAGAGCAAAGCAAACCTGTTTATCACACGAATGGTTTGCCCGATGCGAGAATCGAACCCATGACCTTAGGCGCAGTATTACCAGGTTCGCTAACTACTGCACCACCGAGTCAGTCAACTTTTACCAATAAAATTTCTAACATTACCCAGTTTTCGCTGCAACGTTTAAAACATCAGTGCTCAAAATGTCGCGTGTGTTGCCAACGTTAGAATCGTGAAAGCTATATTACCTATACGCATCTTTTTTTAAGGGATTTTAGGACCTGGGAACTAAGACCTTTAGGTCAAGTCTTATTTTAATTTATATTCTTATTTTTATGAAAAATGATAATATGGAGTGAAATTAAATGAAATGAAGATGATTAATTTGAGACATTAAGGGATGAAATTAAATGAAATAAGATGAGATGATATGGGATGAAATATAGTCTCAGTAAAATGGTGATCATTTACTGAAAAACAGTGGACTTTTTGGAGGATCCCGAGAAGTTACGTCCAGCAGCTTTGTTTCATTTCCCCACATTTGTGCACTTTCACAGATATTAAACAGTTAATAAACCCCCGTTATTACACATTTAAACCTGAAGAAACACTAAATAGACAAAATAAAATAGTTCACACGACTTCACTCCTCGCGTTCCCGCCAAAAAGTCCCGACACGCATCACTCAGTACTCGGTGCTGCCAATAATTAAATTACAAGAATTACCTGAACGCTTTGTTGCACGGCGCAGGGTTGCTGACGCGGCGACACCGCTTGCTGAGTCTGGGAACGGACATATAAAATTACATAGGATAATCCACTGACGACATATTGTCTTCTCGCATTTAAGCTGTACAGTATCTCAAAACTTACTAATTTTACAGGAGAGTGTTTTCAAGATTTAAAACATGTGATATTTTTAATATTGATCATCTTTGCAACATTTTTTTTTTACCACTTACATTATCTGTCTTTTAAAGTAAGATTACATTATATATTAATTTTTTAACAGTATTCAAAACATAGGTAAACTAAAAAAAAAAACTAAAACTATACTACGATCTTTTGACAATTTTTATGAGATTTTTTTTAATGAATTTTATGACCTGTTAACTGAGACCTTTAAGTCATGTCTTATTTTAATTTATATTCATATTTTTATGAAAAATGATATTATGGAGTGAAATGAAATGAAGATGATTAATTTGAGACATTAATCAACTGGGCTGAAATTAAAAGAAATGAAATGAGATGATATGGAATGAAATATAATCTCAGTAAAATGGTGGTCATTTACTAAGATTTTTTGAGTGGACTTTTTGGAGGATCCCGAGAAGTTACGTCCAGCGGCTTTGTTTCATTTTCCCACATTTGTGCACTTTCACAGATATTAAACAGTTAATAAACCACCATTATTACACATTTAAACCCGAAGAAACACTAAATAGACAAAATAAAACAAATCACACAACTTCACTCCTCGCGTTCCCGCCAAAAAGTCCAAGTTTGATGAGAATAATATACTGGTGATACCAAATGTTTACGCATATTAACTCAATCTCGAATATTTTTGAAAATTGTACACTTTTAATGCGAAAAGACGATATACAAGGTCGGTTTACGGACGATAGTTTTAAGTGATGACGTCAGTAGCAGAATTATTCGAACTGCTAGCTGTGACGTCACGCGAGAAGAGAGACAAATGTGTCACAAGCCAAATGGTCGTAGGTCTTGTGAGTCTGTGCAGCCGTTGTAACTATTAGATGTGTGGACGAGCTCCTAGCCCACCTGGTGTTAAGTGGTTACTGGAGCCCATAGACATCTACAACGTAAATGCGCCACACACCTTGAGATATAGTTCTAAGGTCTCAGTATAGTCACAACGGCTGCCCCACCCTTCAAACCGAAACGCATTACTGCTTCACGGCAGAAATAGGCGGGGCGGTGGTACCTACCCGNTTAGATGGGTGGACGAGCTCACAGCCCACCCGGTGTGAAGTGGTTACTTAAGCCCATAGACATCCACAACGTAAATGCGCCACCCACCTTGAGATATAAGTTCTAAGGTCTCAAGTATAGTTACAACGGCTGCCCTACCCTTAAAACCGAAACGCATTACTGCTTCACGATAGAAATAGGCAAGGTGGTGGTGGTAGGACCTCTTGCGAGTCCACACGGGTAGGTGGTGGGTGGCGCATTTACGTTGTGGATGTCTATGGGCTCCAGTAACCACTTAACACCAGGTGGGCTGTGAGCTCGTCCACCCATCTAAGCAATAAAAAAAAACCTGTTCATCACACGAATGGTTTGGCCGATGCGAGAATCATACCCATGACCCTAGGCGCAACAGTACCAGGTTCGCTAACTACTACACCAACCGAGTCAGTCAACATTTACCAATAAAATTTCTAACATTACCCAGTTAAAATGTCGCGTGTGTTGCCAGCGTTAGAATCGTGAAAGCTATATTACCTATACGCATCTTTTTTTAAGGGATTTTAGGACCTGGTAACTAAGACATTTAGGTCAAGTCTTATTTTAATTTATATTCTTATTTTTATGAAAAATTATAATATGGAGTGAAATGAAATGAAATGAAGATGATTAATTTGAGACATTAATCAACCGGGATGAAATTAAATGAAATAAGATGAGATGATATGGGATGAAATATAGTCTCAGTAAAATGGTGGTCATTTACTAAGATTTTTTTCAGTGGACCCTTTGGAAGATCCCGAGAAGTTACGTCCAGCGGCTTTGTTTCATTTTCCCACATTTGTGCGCTTTCACATATATTAAACAGTTAATAAACCACCGTTATTACACATTTAAACCTGAAGAAACACTAAATAGACAATATAAAACAAATCACACAACTTCATTCCTCGCGTTCCCGCCAAAAAGTCTCGATACGCATCACTCGGTACTCGGTGTTGCCAATAAATAAATTACAAGAATTACCTGAACGCTTTGTTGCACGGCGCAGGGTTGCTGACGCGGCGACACCGCTTGCTGAGTCTAGGAACGGACAATTAAAATTACATAGGACAATCCACTGACGATATATTCGTCTTCTCGCATTTAAACTGTACAGTATCTCAAAACTTACTAATTTTACAGGAGAGTGTTTTCAAGATTTAAAACATGCGATATTTTTAATATTAATCATCTTTGCAACATATTTTTTTTAATTTTTACCAGTTACATTATCTGTCTTTTAAAGTAAGGTAACATTATGTATTAGTTTTTTTAACAGTATTCAAAACATAGGTAAACAAAAAAAAAACTAAAACTAAACTACGATCTTTTGACAGTTTTTATGAGAATAATATACTGGTGATACCAAATGTTTACGCATATTAACTCAATCTCGAATATTTTAGGAAATTTTACACTTTTCATGCGAAAAGACGATATACAAGGTCGGTTTACGGACGATAGCTTTAAGTGATGACGTCAGTAGGAGAATTATTCGAACTGCTAGCTGTGACGTCACGCGAGAAGAGAGACAAATGTGTCACAAGCCAACTGGTGGTAGGACCTCTTGTGAGTCCGCACGGCTAGGTACCACTGCCCTGCTTATTTCTGTCATGAAGCAGAAATGCGTTTCGGTTTTAAGGGCAGGGCAGCCGTTGTAACTACTGAGACCTTAGAACTCATATCTCAAGGTGGGTGGCACATTTACGTTGTAGATGTCTATGGGCTCCAGTAACCACTTAACATCAGGTGGACTGTGAGCTCGTCTACCCATCTAAGCAATAAAAATATATAAATAAAATTGGTGACAAACCATCATAAAATCCCTTTAAAAGATACGTACCTGAACGTTTTGCTGTACATTGCAGGGTTGTTGGCGTGGCGAAGGCGCCTGCTGCATACTCTGCTGCGAGGACTGCTGTTGCTGCTGGCATTTGTTGTAACCGGTGTGACCCTGTTCCGACAATAGTTCCAATATAAACAGCTGCAATTTGGGTGGACGGGCAGAGCCCACTGAGTTTCTCGCCGGATCTTCTCAGTGGGTCGCGTTTCAGATCCGGTGGTAGATTCTACGAAGCACTGCTCTTGCTTCTTTTTTTTAATTTTTAGGTGGCTGGACGAACTCACAGCCAACCTGGTGTTAAGTGGTTACTGAATCCCATAGACATCTACAACGTAAATGCGCCACCCACCTTGAGATATAAGTTCTAAGATCTCAGTATAGTTTCAACGGCTACCCTACCCTTTAGACCGAAACGCATTACTGCTTCACGGCACAAATAGGCAAGGCGGTGGTACCTACCTGCACGGACTCACAAGAGGTCCTACCACCAGTAAGGTGCTAGGGCCAGTGTTAGCAACACTTCGGTTTGAGCCCCGTGAGCTCACCTACACGTTAGAGCGAAGCTGATATAGCCTCTCAAGGCTATCAGCATAGGTAGGGAAAAAAGGACGGGCCGGGCAAACGAGGACCTGGTCGATCTGGTGTCGTTTGATTGGCCAAAACTGCCCGTTGACATTGGAACAGTATAAGTATAATATAATGGTGGTAGGACCTCTTGTGGGTCCGCACGGGTAGGTACCACCGCCCTGCCTATTTCAGCCGTGAAGCAGTAATGAGTTTCGGTTTGAAGGGAGGGGCAGCCGTTGTAACTATACTCGAGAGCTTAGAACTTATATCTCAAGGTGGGTGGCGCATTTACGTTGTATATGTCTATAGGCTCCGGTAACCACTTAACAACCAGGTGGGCTGTGAACTCCTCCACCCATCAAAGCAATAACAGAAAGAGAAGAAAAAAAAGGATTTAAGACGCACAGGTTTGCGACCGCTATCTTCTATGATAATCAAACGGTTTCAATGGTTAATTCTGTATTCGTTCCTAAAATATTACTGCAGTAATATTACTCGACTGTAGTGTGGTAGACCCAAGAAACGCTGGTTGGATATGGTAGAGGCGGATACGGAGAAGAATAATCTCACCCAGAATGATGCCGAAGACCGGGCAAAGTGGAGGAGTTTAAGTAGGCAACCGGACTCTGGTACTAGACCCGGAAAACGCCCGAAGTGGAAAATAAGTGTGATTACTCGTAATATTATTCAAATATTGATATTTTACCTGCAAATCAGCTAAGAGACTTTGCCATTGTGTTATCTTATCATAATGTCTCCGGAGTAGCTCTTCCTTCCTCTGCAGTTCACATTTTAACTCATTATTGTCCTCTCTGACCAAGAGTTCAGGTTTCATAGCGGATAGAAGAAATCTGGCGAGGAGAAAATGCATATTGGTATGTCTGTTTGTGGAGGACCAGTACAGAGCTGCAGAGGACTGTGTCTGTAATAGTGCAGTATAGGACTAGAGGCTAGATGTAGGTCGGATCTGTGTCTGTTTGTGTACGAGAAGAGCTCGGGATCAGTACAGAGCTGCAGAGGACTGTGTCTGTAGTTTTTTTTTTTTTTTTTTTCCTACCTAAGCTGAGAGCCTTGAGAGGCTATGTCAGCGTAACCCTAACTTTTGTAGGTGAGCTCACGGGGCTCAAACCTGATGACGTTGCTAACACGAACCCTAGCAAGAGCCGTGCTTCGCAGAATCTACCACCGGATCGGAAACGCGACCCACTGAGAAGATCCGGCGAGAAACTCAGTGGGCTGTGTCTGAGAGTTAATTTACTCGTCGAGCCCTTCGTCGCAAGCGACGGGTTCGACGAGAACGGTGACCGGTGCTTGAAGTACCTAAAAGCACCGTTAGTGGATCAGGAGGATCCGAGATGACGTGTTTAGGGCGACGTCGACTGCTTTCCATTCTGTCCGCAGGATCGGGAATGTAGTTACCGGCGGCCACGATGAGAGGGTTCTCGTGTCGTGCCGCTTTATCGAAGTGGCGCATGGACGCCGACTGCAGATACTTACTGATGGACTCTAAGTCCAGGTCGTCATGGAGGTCGACGTTCCTGACGAACCACGGGGCTCCGACGGCTATCCTGCAAAAACGGGATTGAATAATTTGAAAGGATTTTAAGTGTATGCGGGCCGCGTGAGCGAACACTACACTTGCATAGGTCATGACGGGGCGTATGCAAGTTTTGTAGAGTGTCACCTTATTTCTAAGGGACATTTTACTTCGCCTACATATCATCGGGTAGAGACGTCCTAGAATGAAGGCGGCACGGTCGCGTACCGTCTTGATGTGGGGGCGGAATGTCATCCTACTGTCGAGGGTGACGCCTAAATATTTGACCTTCGGGGCCCACGGTATGGGCTGGTCGAACATCGTGATTGGGCGAACGGCGGGGGCGGGGGTGTTGACGCGCCTAGTCGGGAGAGGGATGCTCAGCGTGGTGTTCGGAGGGCGACCCCTTTTGAAGAGCACCGCTGTGCTTTTCGTGGGGTTGATGTCGATGCGCCACTTCCGGAACCACTGTCCCATGGTGGTAGCCGCGGTCTGAAGTCGTCGATGAAGCAACGCCTTCTTCCTACACGAGTAGTAGATGGCGGTGTCATCGGCGAAGAGCGCCAGATGGGTCTCCGGAGACCGGGGTATATCGTTGATATACAAACTAAATAGTAACGGGGAGAGGGCGGAGCCTTGCGGGACTCCGGCTGTGACGTGATGTCTGTAGTAGTGTAGTATAGGACTAGAGGCTAGATGTAGGTTGGATCTGTGTCTGTTTGAATACGAGAAGAGCTTAAGATCAGTACAGAGCTGCAGAGGACTGTGTCTGTAATAGTGCAGTATAGGACTAGAAGCTAGATATAGGTTGGATCTGTGTCTGTTTGTGTACGAGAAGAGCTCGGGATCAGTATAGAGCTGCAGAGGACTGTGTCTGTAATAGTGTAGTATAGGACTAGAGGCTAGATGTAGATCGGATCTGGGTCTGTTTGTGTACGAGAAGAGTTCGGGATCAGTACAGAGCTGCAGTGGACTGTGTCTGTAGTAGTGCAGTACTCTCGGGTAGATGCAAGTCGAATTACCTTTTCTGCAGGAAGAATGCTTCCATCTGTCTGGCGAGATCGATGAATCGTTCTACCTCTACTTTGACTTCCTCCTTTTCGGCGCATGGTGAAGCTTCTTGCTTCGTCAACACATTCAGACAAGCCTAGAACAAATATAGTTAATATTAGGAATAATTATGTTATGGGCTTCTTCGGACACATGACGCGGTCTCCGAGCCATTAATTAGAGAAGCTCATAATTTTTGATCGATCCTCCAAGAACTCCAGATAAAGACGAGAGTTGCTACCATCTGCCTACGTAGGGTTCTAGAATACTTTGGCCACATTGCAAGAAAGGACAACGGCAGCTTGGAGAAGCTAATGGTGACTGGCAAGGTGGACGGAAGAAGACCACGAGGCAGAGGCCCGACGCGTTGGACCGACCAGATCCGCACTACCCTCGACACCACAGTTCACGATGCTCTACACTCGGCGGCAGATAGAGGCAAATGGCTTGGAATGGTCCGTAATAAACTCTTGTTGCGAGGAGGTGGTTACGACCCTCAGTATTGAGGAAACCAAAGCAAGAAGAAGAAGGTAAGCGCGCCGTGGGCAGGACAACAGCCAAATGGTCAGATCTGGTTATGAAAGCGGTTCGTGGTAGTCTATACAATGCAGTTTATACCACCCATGACCGAACACTATGGCGGAAAGTCCAATGTGGTCGCGATCCTCAGCATTGAGGGAACGATGATGAAGAAGGAATAATTATAGTAACCAGAATGGTTTTTAAAGATGTGGACAGGTAGAGAGAGCCCTGTGTGTCCACCTGGTATTATCATTGATGTCCAGAGAGATAGCACAATGATGGAGCGTGGTGAGTACAACGGCATTTTCCGTTGTACTGCCATCATCGTCTCCATTTTTAATATGATTTATTAGCTCATCCAGTACCTTGCTACTATCGTCTCAGTTTTTAACAAGCTTTATCTATTATCTATATATGAGTCGTCTATTATCAAAGCCGGCAATCTGACTTTTGGACAATGATTGGTAAATCAGAAAAACGAATTATTGACTTTGTATTCCATTGGCAGTCACAAAACTCTTCGGAACGACATCTTAGATAAATAACAGGTTAACTATTAACCTTAATTTAATGCAGGTTTTGAACCGTATTCTTTGAAGGAGACGATTATATTCAAATCAATCTGAATTGACATATCAATAAAAAAATTTTGTCCAAATGCACAGATTGCCACCTTTGATAATAGACGACTCATATATAAAATATGTTACGCAATCTTCGAACGTCATTTTCGCCGACTTCAAAACATTCAATTAAAATTAAAATTCGCGCACGCGTCAAGGATTCATGACAAAAAACAATAAGTTTGATCATTGGCTACTTTGGCCTAATATCCTGACCAGTATCAGTGAGATAAGGATGTTTTGTTTACTTTTAAACTCGATTTGTTAATATGTAATTTTAATAGCTTGATTACTGTATTTTTGTAATTAGCCAGAGAAACGTCGAATGAGGTCACGGCCCACCTGATTTGGAGTGGGAATGGAGCCCGTGGACATCAACAACTTAAATGTCGCACACCCGCCTCGAAACATGAGTTTTAAGGTCTCAATTTTAACAGTACAACGGCTGTCCCACTCTTCAAACCGAATTACTGCTTCACGGCAGAAATAGGCAGGGCGGTGGTACCTACCCATGCGGACTAACAAAACGGCCTACCACCAGGGCACATAATGTGTCATATTTGGTTAATTGTTGGGCGTTTGCGTGAGATCTGTGCTTGGATACAGCTAGCCCTCCTACAAGACGGTATTTTACAACACGATTCCCCCTCTAAAACATAAAGAAAAAATCCCCAAAACCCTCAAGGTACTTCTACAACACGATAACGAGATTTTTGTTTAAAATTGTTTAGAAAATTATATAATGCACTATGAGTCTATGAATACACAATATACGGGAATAGCCGACTTATTATTTACTAGCGACCCGTCCTCGCTTCGCTTCGGAAACTGTAATTTATTATTGATTCCTCCACTATATAATGGATGTTATTATACATATAAACCTTCCTCTTCAATCACTCTATCTATTAAAGAAAACCGCATCAAAATCCGTTGCGTAGTTTTAAAGATTTAAGCATACATAGGGACAGACAGATATAGGGACAGAGAAAGCGACTTTGTTTTATACTATGTAGTGATTCGTAGGATTAGCCGACATTTTACATTGTGTAATAGGTAAAAAATACACACATACAGGCATAGTTGAGATGTTCCATTCAGAAAAATTACTCTTCCTTTTTGTACTGACTTCTAGTCTCTAATAACACGGTTTCGCATAACACGGGACTTTATTTTTTGTTTAAAAAAAAACAAAGCTAATGCTTCACTTGTATGTATGTTTGTAACTGACTCCTTTAGACGCGATTTTGACCCACTTTAAACGGCCACGATTTCATTCAAACTTTGTAGATTTATCGAGGACCGATGACAATACACTAATTTGATAAGATTATTCCATTATTCAATTTGCAAAATAAGATTTTTGCCAATTTATATAATTTTTATCTATAGTCAATAAGGCAGGAATTGATGTTAAAGTACTTAATAGTATTGAAAATACGCTTTTATAGAAAGCTTAACTACAACGCAAATGCCGCCACCCGCCTTGAGATACGAGTTCCAAGGTCTCCGTTTTTATAGTACAACGGTTGGCCTACCCTTCAAACCGAAACGCACTACTGCTTCACGGCAGAAATAGGTAGGGTGGTGCTACCTACCCATGCAGACTCACAAGACATCCTACCGCTAGTAATTACGTCCGTTATCATTTTATGCGGGTTTGCTTTTTAATACACGACGTTATTCCTTCACCGTGGAAGTCAATCGTGAACATTGGTTAAGTACGTATTTCATCAGAAAAATTGGTACCCGCCTGCGGGATTCGAACACCGGTGCATCGATCAACACGAATGCACCGGACATCATATCCTTTAGGCCACGACAACTTAACGGGTTATTCTAGATTCACAGAATTAGTGTGGCTCACGGGGCTAAATCCTGACGACGTTACTAGCACTAGTCCTAACAAGAGTGTTTCCCTGAATCTATTACCGGATCGGAATCGCGACCCACTAAGAAGATCCGGCAAGAAACTTAGGGGATTGTATCTAAAAGCTACTTCGCGGACGGTGACCGGTGCTTGAAGAGCTTAAAAGTACCAAGAGTGGGCGAGGGCGGCTTTGCTTTGCATTCAAGACCAGATAACACAATTGGTTTTCGCAATTACAATCATATTTCAGTCTTAACACAAATTTCCTACAGAATCCATCCACATCCGTGATTTGGGCATTATTTATTAATTATTTTGTATAAAAAAACAACAACAAAAATATTTTAATTCAACATTTTCTCTTTAATTGAAATCAAATTATTATTTTTTTCTCTTTTTTACACACAAAAAAATTTTATACATTATTCTAGTCATTCAAACTTACAGTAAATTAAGTAAAGCTATAATTCTGACGGTTTCAATACACATCTCTCCATTATTGCACGTAATTGTATTTAAATTACGGTACCCGGCGATAAATATTGCACATCGACCGCGGGAAAGAGACGGTTACTTTTTGCCTTGTAGAGCGTTATACCTGTCGCACATTACCTAATTGACATTTAGTCTCCATAGACACCGGATCCATAATGTTTCGTCACATACAGGTAACGCTATACAACAAAAACAAAATTAGAAGACTGTCTCTTTCTAAATATCGATACAATGTGCAATATTTCGTCTTCTCGCATTAAAACTGTATAATCTCAAAACTTACTAATTTTACAGGAGTGTTTTAAAGGCTTAACATGTGATATTTTTAATATTAATCATCTTTGCAACATTATCTTTTTTATTTTTTACCAATTACATTATCTGTCTTTTAAAGTAAGATAAAATTATGTATTAATTTTGTTAACTTATAACTTATGAAACTTGTTTATTTATGAGAAAAATACTGATGATACGAAATGATTCCTCATATTAACTCAATTTCGGGTATTTTTGGAAATTGTACATTTTTAATGCGAAAAGACAATTTATTGCCTGGTACTGTATATTGTACGCGGATTACGCCATATTGTCTATGAAGGCATAAGACAAGCCTCAAATGATGAGCGGCCTCCATTGCTCATGGGTATCAGCAATGCCGGGAGCTCATTCTCGTTAGGAGGAAGCGCCGTGGATGGTGCGTGACCAAAGTCGTCATCACAAATGGTATCGATTCTTCTGGCGATACGAATGGTATCGATTCTACATTCTTAGTGGCAATGAGCTTGTGACGGAACCGGTCTCTAAGATCATCCATAGGACATACGGTTGAGACATGGTTCACAGAGGACACTCAGCCTAAAAGATCCAGAGAATCCGTAACGACCGGTTTCATTTTGAAATGTCAACAAGGTCGATTTTCTTTCGTCGTTGAATTAAAATTATTTCGAACTAGCGACTCGCCCTCGCTTTGCTTCGGAAACACACATGAAACCAAAAAAAAAAAAAAAAAAAAAGTAGCCTATGTTCATCAGGGACAATGTCGGCTTCTAATGGAAAAAGAATTTTTCAAATCGGTCCAGTAGTTTCGGAGCCTATTCGAAACAAACAAACAAACAAATCTTTCCTCTTTATAATATTAGTATAGATAGTGAAAAGCTATTTCGTTTAAGTGACATTTATATTTGTAATTAAAGGTCCGTTTTATTTGTTATTAGTATCAACAGTTCGATGTTTTTAATTGAACTTCAATTACTCCTTCTTCAAACGAGGCTTGTGGAGAGTATTAAGCGGTAGGCAGCGGCTTGGCTCTGTCCCTGGGATTGCTGAAGTCCATGGGCGACGGTAACCACTCACCATCAGGTGGGCCGTATGCTCGTTTGCTTACAAGGGCGATAAAAAAAATTAAAAAAATTAAGTTTACTCCATTCACAATAGCTGAAGAAGTTTTTTTTGTAATAATATTTCTTCCAATTTTTTTTATTTTTTTTTTATTGCCCTTGCAGTCATTCGAGCACACGCCCCACNGAGTCCGAACGGGTAGGTACCACCGCCCCGTCTATTTCTGCCGTGAAGCAGTAATGCGTTTCG